AAAAGAAAGCAGAAAGAATCTTAGCACAATAAATTAAGAATAATTCTTTAAAGAAAAGGTGAATCAAAGACTTCAGTAGTATCAATTGCTAAGATATAATATTTACTTTTGTTTGACATTGCAACAAGTTATTGTCTTAATTTAAATAATTGCACATGCCCAAGAATGTCAAAAGTGCTAGTAATTGAGCATGAATTTTTAATGGATCAAAGAAATAAAAAAAATATGGTTATTGGTCTTCTGATATAGATGCAGAAATTAATTCTGGAGAGGAGGAGTTTATAAATGACACTCAAAGCAATTTTGATGACAATCAGTTGTTAGATTTCTGAGTAAATCTGACAGAAATATTATAAAGTTTCCAACAGTTGTCAGTGAATGTGACAGATACGGTGTACCTGATGTTGCTGGAGCTGCAATTGCTTCTGCCACACTTTCAGATTACAGAACTATAAAAAAACATGATAGAAAAGCATAGAATGAAACCAAAACATCACTTGATAATGTGTTAGCTATTGGCGCTGATGTAACTTACGTAAATACTGGTGTGAACAATGATGTAATAAGATTGCTGGAACTTGCAAATTTGCAATTGGCACTTGGATTGCAATTGTCACAAGTTGCAATTTTTCAAACTTAATGTCAGACAGAATAACTTACCGAACATTCTACATGAGATTGTAACAAACAATATTAGCAAATATCAACAGTATCTTATAACATGTGCAAGGCTATAGAAATAGGTGAGTTAAAAGAAAGCCTAGAAAAAAAGAAAGCTTGGCCCCTTGGTTCATTCTCAATTGCTGACAACTGCAAATCGAATCCTTCGTTTGTATGTTGCAAGAACTCCGCTGTCTACCAATCTTGTAATAATTACTGATTACATTCTTTGAGTTTATGCATCAGTGTGGTTCTTTATAAAACTGAAGCCTCTATGTTACTATAGTTATAATATAAGATAGTCTGGCCAGTTGGGCCGTTTTTGCAATATTCTATTGTTTTTAAACAATAAAAGTTAAAACTTTGAATTTATGTTAAAAATCGTTTTTTTCATTGTGCCCAGACTACCAATAAGTGCACAAAAATCTAAAAAATGGCGAACTAAGCAGATAAACAGTGCTTTAATTATTTCATATTAGATCTAGAATCAGATATATTTTTTTGTAAAATTAAGTTTATCAATAATTTCAGTTTTTTTCTCGTTAAAATAGGGAGTAAAAATGCTTTAACCAAATTCATTTTCACCAGTGTACGCTTTATAACAAAGCAGCATTCAAATAGTTTCTCTAACTCAGCAAATTAAAACACAAACTGATATTAAGCTAACATGTTCTACAAATAAGTTCATGAATTTTGTTTCAAAAAATATTCTTATTGTTAAAAACAATCTTTGCTGCATACCATATATTTGAGATGGGCTTTCAAAGTACATATTTTTAAAAGATGATACGAAGCTATTATTCAAGTTAATAAAATGAAGTTATTAAAATTATTTAAAGTGAAGTTGAAGTTTTTTATCTAAAATTTATAGTTGCAGATGAGAAAGGATTTTTCTAACAGATCCTCACCTCTAGTAGGATATAAACTTGCTAATCATATTTAAAAAGAGAAAAAGAAAAAAATATAGTTCAATGTTTTGGTTGTTATGCATTTAGTACTTTTTTTTGAAGAATACGTTAGTCAAAAAGAAAAACAAAAAAAAACCTAGAAAGGGTTTTTAAACTCCATCAAATAAATATTAGACATTTAATAAAGGTTATTTTGATAACCAAAAAATGTGTTAAAAATATTCTAGCATTTGAACTGTATTCTAGTATGATTGAAAGATGCAATAATAAAGTGAAAATCAATTAAAGTTGTGTAATTTTTTACTAATTAATAATATTATCGTATAATGTAATGAATAAAGCAATTTGTTTAACTACTTAAGTAGTTAAATAATTTTTTCGGGATTTTATTTATAAAGTTTTGAAATATTATTAAGACTTCTTTGCATCACTTTTCCTTCCCATAACTTCAACCTAACTGTTCACTTCTTAGCCTCTATGGATTTTTTTAAAGATTGACAATGGGTCTTTTGATACCCCAATTACTACAATTACGTGCATGATATAACTGCAACAATAAATACATTTCTTTATTTAAGATATATATTTATATATATATATATATATATATATATATATATAAATATATATATATATATATATATATATATATATATATATATATATGTGTGTGTGTGTGTGCGTGTGTGTGTGCGTGTGTGTGTGTGTGTGTGTGTCATATTTGTTTCTTTTTTCCATAGTTGATGGTTCTATTTAAACTTTATCAACTAATATAAAGTAAAATGACATTAGAGTAACCATTATTAGAGTAATATCATTAAATTGATATTAATTACATTTAGTAGATAATATCGATAGCATTAAGTAGGTAATAGTTACATTAGTAAAAAAAAACTAAGTTAACATAAAGAAAAACTATAATTCTCCATTTTCAATTCTGAGAACATGAAATGCAAACATATTTTACACAATATTTTTTATTATGCTAGCCTATTTGTTTAATTGTTAACAGAAACAGTTAAACATTTCTGTAAATAGTCAAATTTAGCTATTATCAAGTCATTATACTACAGAATATTGGTACTAATGTACATTAACATAGAACATTGCATTACAAACATTAAATAATATACAAAATATAATTTTCTATTTACCTAATCATTTTTTTTTAGTAATTCATTTTTTTTTTTATTTATTTAGAATGGTTTCTTATCTGCTCTGCCTTTTATAGCAGCATTTATAGTATCAATATTTATTGGCTGGTTTAGTGATTTTATAAGAAAGAAAAAATGCACAACTACATTTACTCGAAGATTCATATCTGCGATTGGTTAGTTTTTAGACAGTTTTCAATTTTTATGATTATAATTATAAAAAAAAAATTTATAATAATAATCATAAAAAATTTTTATAAACAATTCAGATTTTTTAATATTTTTGCAAAATGAGTTTTTTAAGGAGTTGTTTCATCTCATGATAGCATGTAGGTTTTTGTTTAAAAATATCTGACATTACCATCTGGCATTCTAGCATTTACAAAAATGAAAAATAAATGCTATAAAAATAAGGTATTTTTTTTTCAAAGTAGACCATAATCTCAATCCTACTCAATTTTGCAGATTTATACATAAAATTCATGTAATAATTTGTGATTATTTGACAGTAATCAATTATACACTTTCATTTGAAAATCAGTAGAACATTGTGAAATGGTTTGTCTCGTAGTTTTTATTTTAATTTAGGGTTTTTATTTTTTTTATATACTTTGTTGTTTGCAGCAAAGTAACACAGATAGATTTTTAAAAACCTGGAAAAATCAGTGAAAAAGCAATGTTGTTAAAATTTCATAAAAAACTCTTTTTTCAATGTATATTGTGTATTTAACTTTTGGAAAAATTTGGGAATAAAGTTGACAAGAATTATACTTTGTAAATCATAAAAGAATCACGTTATACAATTATGTTAAAGTAATATTGCTTAAGTGTATTGTGGTAATTTTTAAAAATTCAAAATCTTTTTGAAAACTATTTTAAAACAAAAGAGTATTAATGGTGGTTCGATATTATTTTTTAAATGCTTAAATGTACTATTTTATCATCAAATGTTTAATCAGAAATGGCATCAATTATATCAAGTGTAATTTTGATTAATACAATTGTTGTAATTGAAATTCATTATTAATTGAGTAAATAAATTATTTTAGAGAAAAACAATTTTGAGATGTTACAGGCATTAAGTAGATTTCTAATAAAAGTAAACATATTCAGGCTTGGACAGGAATGGCGTGCGATCGCACTCTGTAACTGACCACGCTAATGTTTTTATTTATTTACAACTTGACCATGACTATTTTGATGTTTTAATAATTTGAATGCAATAAAAAAAGTGTATAAAATATCTTTTAATCGTTGATCTTTTCTAAAGATTTTATTTTATGCAAAGGCTTTAAATAAAACCATAAAATTAGTTATATTTATTGTTTACATAAACGCATGTGTAAATTAATAAAAAACGTTATATATAAGTTTTTTTTATGTAGGCATGTATTTTTTTATGTTAAATTTAAACGTTTGAAATGTTTATTTTATCACAAAAATGTTTTTTTTCCATGTGCTTTTAAAACATTTTTAAACCATTAATTTTTGAAAAAACTTTTTTAAGTTACTTTAATTTGTGAATAAGTTCAAAAGCTTTTGTGACAACTAGCTTTTACACATTTTATGTGAATTACACAAGAATATAAAATAACTTTATTTACTTATATAAACATGTATTTTGTTGATTAATTATAAAGTTTTATAGCATTTTGTAATGTTCATACGATTAATTTTTATAATTAAACTTAAAATTTTTTAAAATGTTTTAAATAAACATTTTATTTTTTGTTAACATTTTTTTTTTCTTCGATTTTGTTAGAAATGAATGAGTTTAAATCTTTTATAATAATTTTTAAATTCGTTACGCGAAGCGCTTATTAATAAAGTTGTAATGCTTAAATTAAAAATAAATTAAAAATGCTTGTTGGCAGTTTATTTTATTTAAATCGCAGGCGCATTTTATTTATTTTTTTTTTTTCTATTTTACGAATAAAAAAGTTAAAAACTTTTTTTTAATTTTGACTAATTAGAGTATGAAATTAGTAAAAGTAACTTTTGTAAAAAGACTGCGTTATTTTTTCAAACAATTTTTTTTGCAACTTGTTTTGAAAAAATAAATGTTTTTACAATTTAAAAATATTATATACAACACTTTTTAATAAATTTAATAAAATTTGTTCCTTCATTAAACCAGTCATTAGTAGTATTTTGTTATGAATTTAAAAACATTTTGCTTAACTTTAACAACGTTTAAAAAGATAAGCTTTAATAACGGTCGATGCTATTTGCACGGCGACCGTGTTCCGATTTTAAAAAGGCAATTCGCACAGCTGCCTTGTTCCTATTCTAAAAAGGCTATTTGCACGGCCGCAAAACCAAATCTTGCAATCAATTTTTGATCACTTCCTGATGATAGATTTTCTTCAAATTTTGCATACATACTTTTGCTTGATGACAATACAATATTCAATAATTAGTTATGCAATAAGTTAACTAATTTAGTTAATTTTAATTAAATTTATCTTTTATATGGAAAGATGAGTTTAAAATTTATAAATAAGTATACTAATTGTTTAAATACTTAAATGTACATATAGCTTATTTGGTAAAGTTGTCAACTTTGTAAACTGAAGATCACAGGTTCGAGTCTTACCTCTTCCCGGATATTTTTTGTTTTTTTACACACGCATACAGCCGAATGTTAGTAAAATAAAATAGTATCAGAAATAATTTATTGCAAAACTTGTGTTTTTAAAACATATAAAGGCACTGGATTTTAAAAATTAGTTTTTAAATTTACTTGTTCTTTTTGCGTTTTTTTTTAGAATGGCAAAGAATTTTATGTAAATACCAAAAGTGTCATTTTCTTTCAGATCTTCTTTTTTAGCTTTTAATTTGTTTTGTTGTACCTATTAATTAATTTTAAATTTACCAAGTTTTGCCAATTTAACTGCGCAAATACCTTTTCTTACCTGTTTATATGGCAGCCATGCCAATTGTCTTTTTTAGAAGTTGTACACGGCGGCCGTGCCAATAGACACTATCTTTAATAACGTTCATTTTTTTATGTAATAAAAAACGTAACAAAAAGTTTTGCTTCAAGTTTATGTTTTTATTTTCATTTTAGTGCTTGTATAATTATTTTTTCATTATGAATTTGTTTTTCGTTTCTTTTTTCGTTAGGAACTTTTTTTTCATAATTTTTTTTTTTTATTTTTTTCCTAGTTTAAGTTTAGCTTAGCGTTTCTACATTTAGAGCATATCTGAAATTTTTAAATCATCAAAACATATAAACAATCGTGGTCAAATTGTCAAAAAATAAAATCATTTGCGTGGTCAGCAATAGCGCTCGATCGAACGCCATTCCTGTCCAAGCCTGATATTTAGTTATTAGGTTTGAAACTTTATAATGAACAATTTAAAGAAGTCATAATAGTAAAAGCAGTCATAATAGTAAAATAGAAAAACATAACTAAAATTGTGATAAAGCGACAAGTTAACCATTTTAGCAATCAAAAAAGTTTTATTATTTCTCTTGCTTAACTCTCTAAGAAACTATTTAAGAGTTTTTTATTTCATTTTTTGAATATTTTTTTGTTTAAAGATTGATCCTGGCTCTCACTTATTTTTAGGTTTCTATCCATCTGCTGTATTTCTTATTCTTGCAAGTTACTCAAGTTGCTCAAATATTGCATGGTCAGTTTCTTGCATGGTGCTTGCAACTGCTTTTTTAGCTTTCAATGGAAGTGGTTATTTAGTTAACCATTTAGATATAAGTCCAAGGTTTGGTGGCATTTTGATGGGTTTATCTAATACCCTTGGAACTGTTGCTGGTTGTATTACACCATCTGTTACAGGGTATTTTACTAACGGTGATGTAAGTTGTTTCTATATACTCTCTGATGTTATCAAATATTATTTAGAAACTTTACCATATAAATTTGCCCAATGGTCACACAGGGAAAAATGATGTATATTAGAATAGAGGAGAATTATTTTTCGAACAAAGCATATTTAGACAGTTGTCAAAACAAAAATAAAGATTAATAGAAGAGTATTTAAAAATATACAATGACAAAAATAAGACAAACAATACACCCAAATGATACAATAATAATAAAAACTTTTTATTAACACTTTAAATGAACAAAGATATACAACAAAAATGTCACCAAACAAAAACTTGCAAAATAAAATTTTGACTGCGAAATATGCAAATAAAGTATGCATACAACAATGTAATGCCTGAGAATGGAAGAAAAAAAATAATGCTATTATTAATGGTGTTTTAAAGAAGATCAGTTTATTCCATCAGATAAACTAGTTTATCTAATGAAATAGATAGTAGTAGATGTAGTAGATAGCTAGATTGTCATTGCCACTTATGCTTTACTCTGCAACTTACGCCTATTTTATATTGCAGTAAAAAAGAACTCACTACAAACAGCCAAAACCCAAATAGACCAGGGTTGGCAAAAAAACCTAACCCAAAAACCCACCTTGAAAAAACCCAATAAAACCCAAAAAAAAACCAAAATATATTTGGGGTTTTTTAAAAATGTTTTATTTTACAACTGGTTAACACTTATAAATGTTCTATTTATATACAAAATGGTATTTAGAATATATCCAAAACCAATCAATCTGTTTTTGTAGCCAGTTTGTTATTAATTATTTTTTTAAAACATATAGCAAGTTATTATAAATATTATTGAAATATGTATTAAAACATTTTAATTAGTTAAATATTTATAAAGGAAATAAAAATTATTCTATTAACTAAATTTCAAAGTACTAGATATTACTAGTTATTTAGTATCTTTATTCTCCTCTCGAATGTCTATATTTCCAAACAAGTGTTCTATAGATGTTATTTTTTATTGGTATTTGATCTTTTATTTTTTAAAACTTATGTTGTAAACTGTAAATTTCAGTGCAAAATACTATATATAAAAATTAAACTTTATTCACAGTGAATACAACTTTAAAACATAAAAAAAAATATGTTAAGTGCAAGCAAGTTTCATTCAATGAGAGAACATGTTGAAAACTTGTATGCAGTTCACAAGGACAAAATTTGTTGGTAAAAATGATACTCATGCTTATCTGTCTTTTTTACAGGTTTTAAATATTTTGCATCAGCTACAAGTTTACAACATGTACCGTCAACAAGGATCACTATGAACAGCAAGTTGTAAATGAACATCAGTACCAAGTTTGCTAAAAAGTAAAGAAAATACGCAATAGAGCTTTATATTGTGTTACTTTGATTCAGTTGCAAAACTGAGCTGGTAAAACATCTTCAAGTAAAAAAAAAAGGTTCTGGTGGTGAAGAAACTGTAATGGTTATTAACAAATTCATTTTAGATATTTCAAGAACAATCAAAGCTTAGGTGCAAATCCATTTGCAAAACAAATCTCCCCATAATCTAAAAAATAAAAACATGAAGTGTCATCCCGAATTGGCTAATCATTACTCTCTTAAACATTTGGATATAATTGCTAAATTATTTTATGTAATTTTGTATAAAGAAATATTTTAAATATTGGTTACATTATTTAAGTTCTAAATATCCATGTTAGACTAGCTGAACCTGTTCTGATCATTCTTATGAAGATTGTCAATTGATGATGGAAGCCCAAAAACTTGGTTTACCGATATAAGCTAATCTTACTATTTTAAAAATACTAATATGATCTTATAAAGTAAGATAATTAAGATAATTACTGTATAATGTTGATCAGTCCGATAACTTTTCCAGAAAGCTGGACAGTATAATGTTCTGTTAAAAAAAATGTAGTGATTAGGCTAACAGTTTTCTTCTATGATGCAAAAATGTTTAAAAAGTGTTTATAGTCATCCTGATTGACAATAATTTACAAGGTTGCAACATCATGTTGCAAACTTGTTGATTACATGTTGTAAACTTAGTTTTTGAAACGATATGCTGATAAAAACTAGTATAAAAAACTAGTTTGCAACATTTATATTGTCTTACTAACTTTGAATAACTCAATTGTCATAATAATTTTTATAGTGATTTTTTTTTTGGTCAAAAATAATCTGAACATGTTTTTAATTTAGTGCTATTAATTAACATCATTTATAGTTGGTGGAGTCCCTTTTTGCACTATAGATATAATGTGCTAGTAGACTAGTAGTAAAACATTTGGCTCGCAATCAGAAGGTTGGGGTTCAAATTACCTCTGAAATTACTGTGCTCAATCTATTTCTCCGCACAGCGCCTTAGTTTAAAAATATTAATTGTTAATGTTGTTTGTTAGTAAAAATGGTAATGTAAAGGATTGAGACAAAACATTTTTTAAAAATGAGTTGCTCTCTTGACTAAAGTGGTCACTGAAGGTGAATTTATAAAATTAAAAAAAAAAATATTGTACACATACAATTATAAAAATTTGGTATATTGATCGGTTTTTAAAAAAACCCAAAAAACCCATAAAACCCAAAAAAACCCAATTGGGTTGGCTTTTTTCCAACCCTGAAGCAGACTCAATTTGCTTAAATCACCAATATTTTTTTTGATGAAATGATGTTGAAAGTTTAGATCCAAATGAAATGATATTAAAAGTTTAGATCCAAGTCAAATCACTTACTATACCATTGAATATAGGTAGAAAATATAATATAGAATATAGATAGAAAATATAAAAACACAGTAAATAATAATTCTAATAAAAACACCAAAATAAAACTAAAATGACTCAAGTAAATATGGAAACAAAAAATACTAATTAAATTCTTTAAAAAAAAAAAAACCAAATAAGTATTTTAAGCATAAAAAAACTTGAGAGGATTGTATTTAGGGTTGTACCAGATTGTTAGTTATGAATTCTGGCCGGAATCAGATTTTCAGGAATCATTAATGAAATTCCAGTCGGAATTACGACTGACACAAGAATTATATTTATGTAATTTTTTAACTTCAAGATTAAAAGTGAAAGCCTGCACCTCAGCATATTGGCCATATAATATATATTTTTATCCTATAATATAGATATATATAACCTATTTCATTAATTTAATTCTTGTTTCATTTAAATCTGATATGTTGTTTTTATTTGTTTCTTATAATTTTGTTTACTGAAAGTTTTCACCTGCATATATTTATAATTGAAATTATTTATTTTTTTCTATTTTTCCATTTAGGTTAAAATTGAAATATTTACTCTATTAGGCATCCTATATTTTTTAACTATTTACAATTTAAATAACATTTAAAATGAGACTATTCTCAGAGGCAGGAAACATTTTTAAAGAAAAAAGAGTTTGTTGCCTAAAACTGGATCTCTTTTTGTACTACAATATTCTTAAACTTTTAGAAATCCTTACATATTTGAAAACTGCAAATAAAATTACATTGTGTTCGTGCAGAAATGTGTGTTTTTACCTAGGTTTACCCATAGTTTTTCATTGTCCTTTAGGACTATGAGTTTTTGATTTAATTTACACAGTCTTTGACATGTCTTGAAAAAAAGGTAAAAAATAAATTCCGGCATTCCAACCTAAAATATTGTAATTCTGGTCGAAACCGGAATTAGCTAAAATTCACAAATTCCAGCTGGAACAGAATTCTAATACATCCCTGATTAACATCAACTTTGCACTATTGAAATAAAAATGTTCAGACTTATTTAATAAGATGCTTTTTAACTTGAAGCTTTTAACAGTTATTAAGCTTTTAACAGTTAATATATTGGTTCAATAAATGTTACATTTTCTGTTTTGACATCAATGTAAAAAACTGAAAAATTCAATTTTCAATGTAATAAATAAAGTTAATTTATGATGATATAAAGAATCAACAATTTAATGTTTTTGACTAAAAACACTAAAACGTTCTTTCATTTTATACTAATACTTTAAAAACAAAGAATCAACGATTTAGTGTTTTTCTATGAAAACAAAGAATCAATGATTTAGTGTTTTTACTATGAAAACAAAGAATCAACATTTTAGTGTTTTTACTATGAAAACAAAGAATCAACATTTTAGTGTTTTTACTATGAAAACAAAGAATCAACAATTTAGTTTTTTACTATAAAAACAAAGAATCAACGATTTAGTGTTTTTACTATAAAAATAAAGAATCAACAATTTAGTTTTTTACTATAAAAACAAAGAATAAACGATTTAGTGTTTTTACTATAAAAACAAAGAATCAACGATTTAGTTTTTTTACAATTAAAACAAAGAATCAACAATTTAGTGTTTTTATTAGTTTAAAAACAAAGAATCAACGATTTAGTGTTTTTACTATGAAAACAAAGAATCAACAATTTAGTGTTTTTACTATAAAAACAAAGAATCAACGATTTATTGTTTTTACTATAAAAACAAAGAATAAACGATTTAGTGTTTTTACTATAAAAACAAAGAATCAACGATTTAGTGTTTTTATTAGTTTAAAAACAAAGAATAAACGATTTAGTGTTTTTACTATAAAAACAAAGAATCAACGATTTAGTGTTTTTACAATTAAAACAAAGAATCAACAATTTAGTGTTTTTATTAGTTTAAAAACAAAGAATCAACGATTTAGTGTTTTTACTATGAAAACAAAGAATCAACAATTTAGTGTTTTTACTATAAAAACAAAGAATCAAAGATTTATTGTTTTTACTATGAAAACAAGAATCAACGATTTAGTGTTTTTACTATAAAATCAAAGAATCAACGATTTAGTGTTTTTACTATGAAAACAAAGAATCAACGATTTAGTGTTTTTACTATGAAAACAAAGAATCAACGATTTAGTGTTTTTACTATAAAAACAAAGAATCGACGATTTAGAATTTTTACTATAAAAACAAAGAATTAACGATTTAGTGTTTTTACTATAAAAACAAAGAATCAACGATTTAGTGTTTTTACTATAAAAACAAAGAATCAACAATTTAGTATTTTTATTAGTTTAAAAACAAAGAATCAACGATTTAGTGTTTTTACTATAAAAACAAAGAATCAATGATTTTGTGTTTTTAGTCACAAAAAAAAAAAAAAAAAACAATTAATTTATGTATAAGTCCGAAATTCCATTGAATTTATGGATTAAGTTTATACTTCCAGTTGTGAATGGTTTTTTTATATAATGTTGTTTAAAGTTGTAATAAATTAGTTTTAATTCAAAAACAAGTATTCTATTATTATGCACAAAAATTTAACAACGCTGTTACATACAGTAAACCTTCTTTTAATAATTTGCTGGTAATCAATGTTTTTGGTACTGTTGACAAGTCATTGTGTTAGAGTTAATTCATTTTTTTGGTACTGTTGACAAATCCTCATGTTAGAGATGATCAATTTTTTTGGTACTGTTGACAAATCCTCATGTTAGAGGTAATTAATTTTTTTGGTACTGTTGACAGATGTTTATGCTAAAGATAATTAAGTTTTTTGGTACTGTTGACAAATCCACATGTTAGAGATAATTAAGTTAAAAACAATAAGTTATTTTCATTGAAGTTTTAACATTGCTTTCATATTTTATTTTGAAAACATTTTAGCTTTTTCAACGCTATTGTAGATTTTGACAATAGTATAATAATAATATTTTAATGTTGGTCAAAAATTAAAATCAAAACTCCTTGTATTAAATAATCTTACTAAAATTGTCTAACTTTTGTTGTTCATTTTTTGATTAGAAAAGTTTTTTTTTAGAAAATTGAATGCTAAATCTAAAGATAAATATATCAAAAAATAATATTTTCTAATGGGGCCTTGGGGTGGGTTAAATAACATTTCAAAACTTGGTTTTCAAATGAAGCATTTATAAGCAGCTTAATATACTAGTTTTATGAAAAAATGCAGATTTTGGAAATCAATTATTTCTAGAATGGTAAATCGCCAGATTTTAATTCTTTTCTTATTTAATATATACTTGAGTTATTCAAATATATTTTTAAAGGATAAAAAAATTCGAAATTGCCATTTTCCCCAAAAAGTGCCATTTTCCCCAAAAAGTTCAAATAACATGGTTATGGAGGGGTGCATGTAAAAAAATTTTGTTTCAAATTTACATATATTATTTAATATGTTAATATAATACGTTACAATGCCATAAAATACATATGTACATCTTTAATATTGATGTTTCATGTTTATCTTTAGCCGTCTTCTAAGAATTATAGAAGTGTATTTTTTATCGCCGCTGCCATTTGTTTATTTGGAGGAACATTTTTTATTGCTTTTTTGTCTGGCGAAGTGCAACCATGGAATAATGTCAATGATGAAATATACAAAAATTCGCGTTTTTTGGAGGAACAAGAAAAAGAAAAAAAATAAATATGTTTTTTGGAAGAACTAAATAAATATTTTTTTGTTTTTTTATTTTAAGGCACAATTATAAATTTTCTTAATGAAATTCGAAAACACAAGTCTTTTTAAAAATAGAAAATAATGATTTTTATCAACTATTTTAAAACGTTCAACTATATTAAATATTTATATTGTTTTTTTCTTCCTTTTTTTAAGTAACAAGAAAATCAGTATAATAAATAATATTATTTATTTATCTTTTTTTTGTAGAAATTGTTATTATTATTATTATTATTATTATTATTATTATTATTATTTCATTTAAAAGTGTTCACTATAACTCAGAATGAGTTAGGTATACATTGATAATAAAGTTAATTAAAAATATGAACAAGATATGTTAACAGAAAATAACAGGTAATTTTTAAAAAAATATGGCAAATAATATAATTTAATATTGCAAATAAGTACACAATATTTAAACTTCTTTGAGTTAAGCAAACCATATAAAATTAGTTAAACCATATAAAATTAGTTAATTAGTAAATTAAACCGTAAACCGTAAAAGTTTAATCAAGTATAAAGTAAATATTAACAAACTATTAAGTAACCGAGTTTTAGACAACGTTTCTCTAGTCGTTTTAAAAATTCTTGGCTTTATATAATTTGAGTTGAAAGTAGATTTTTGCATTTAAAAAAAAAATTATTTTTATTAATTTTTTAATGTGGTTTGGTAAAAAATAAAATTTTTTTTTTTACTAACAAGTTATTATTAACTTCTTATAGAATTATAACTTTAAACTAATATATAATTTTTTCAAAAATTTTAAAATTATATAAGCAAAAACAAAGCTTTATATAATTATTATTAGAATTATTTAGATTAAAATATATGTACGATTTAAATTATATGTTCTATTGGTTTAAATATACTTATATTTATATACTATATATTGTTTATATATATATATATATATATATATATATATATATATATATATATATATTATATTATATTATATTATATTATATTATATACTAAATGTACTATACTTAAATATATACATTATCTTTCTTTATATTTAAGTTAGTAAGTTTTAAAATAGAATATCATAATATAGTACTATAATAACATAATACTAAACTATTTTAAGTTTTATTTTAAGTTGTTGTTTCTTTATTTTTTTATTTCTAATAAAACTACTTTATATAAATGTTGAGTATTTTTATCTGAGTTTGCAGTTTTTTTAGTTAAATTTAATTGTCTGGATTTTTTTTTATTTGTATTTTGGAGATAATGAAATTTAAAAAACTGTGAAAAAAAAGTGTTTTTTTTTTATGTTTTGGAAAGAGTAAAATTTAAAAATTTGTATTCAGCTTTTTTTGTGTTTTAAAGAGAATAAACTTTGAAAAAAACTTTTTTCGCATTTTTTTAAATGTTTTTGGGAGATATCATAAAAACTGTTTTGCTTTTATTCAGCTTTACAATATTCAAACTACGGCAATAAACGTTGATTTTTTTAAATTAATAGTAAGCTGTTTTTATTTAAGTGTTTTTCTTATTTTGCTTAAAAAAAAACTTTAAAAGAGCCTTTAAAAATTTTTTTTGTTTTTGAATTTATTTTTATTACAATGTTTTTATCTTTGTGTCAAAAAGTGTAAGGATATTTTCTAAATGTGAAATAATATAAGACAATTGAAGCCTTTTTTTTTTACTTGTTTCAGCCTTTTGTTTAATTTTTTATAATTATATTAGAAAATTGAAAAATTTTTAGGTTATGGGGATGTCCAAAAAGTACGTACGCTCTCATTTCTACTCGACCCTCCCCTCTCCTTCCCCCGCATTTTGCTAAATGCTTTTTTGAGTGCCCTTCATCTTCCTAAAATTACCTACGCCTTTAACTTACTACCCAACATTTTATGATTTTTAACTTCTCCTTTTATAATTGACCCCTTGCCTCCCATCTCATATACGTCATTTGCAGACCCCCTCTTGCAATCGTCCGTAAAGTACCCCGCTCCATCCGAGCGTACGTACTTTACGGACGATCCCTTACTTAACTGCAGCTCTTTGAATCAATTCCTTATTTTGTTACTTATCGTGGTCTTAAAGTATATCTATTATATACAGTATCAGACAAAACAAGTGCAACCAAATAATGCTTATTTAGTTTCTTTATATAAAAGTGATGCATTTTTTCAATTTAGAGAAATAACTATGTAACTGTTTTGAGACAACAATCTTCGATTTTTATTTATCACAAAGTTCATTATTTGTACACGAAAATTAATAAATTAATCAAAAGTATTAAAAAAAGTTGATTTCCTTCTGGACAAAACAAGTGCAACTCCACAAAATGTTGACCAAGCTGTATTTCTCTATGAATATTTCGGGGCGAATCCTTTGTTGTCGATCACAGCCTTGCATCTTCGAGGCATAGATTCAATCAGGTGATCAATAATACTTTGTAGAATCGCTGCCCAGGCCTTTTGGATTTGTTTAAATAATTGATCTTTATTTTGAACACCTTCACGATTAATTCTGCGGTTAACGATCTCCCACAGGTTCTCGGTAGAGTTGAGATCCGGAGATTGAGGCGGCCAATCCATCACCGATAGGTCGTTGTGTTGAAAATACTGCTTAACTAATTTTGCAGTGTGTTTTGGATTGTTGTGTTGCTGAAAAACCCGTTTTATTGGCATATTCCATTCAGCATGAGGTAACATAACATCTTCCAGGATATTTTTATTCATGAAAATTTTTATTCATGAAACTTTTCTTCTGGTTCTTTTGTGAAATCAGCGGTTTCTATGCAGGGCGTCGAGAAAACAATCCGGCTTCAACAACACGTCGTCTGATTGTTTGGTCCGATACATGCAGCTCTAACTGCTTTTGTATCTCGACTGATGATATCCAAGGATCCTTCTTGATGGATCTGACGATCATAGAATCCTCTCTAGAAGTGGTGGAACGCAGTCTTCCACCTTTGTTATCTGCTGCCAACTTCCCCGTAGAACAATATTTGGAACAAATCTTCGAAATGCCGCCCCTTAAATGTTTTTCTTTAAAATAACCTTCGATTGTGATTAAAAAAAAACTGCACAAAATGTACGAATTCTACTTTTTATTTTGAAATTTTAAAATAATGATTTCAACTATAAACTACAACAATGTACAGTATTACAGCTTTACTCTTCTAACTTTAACTTTAGCAAACTCGTTAATTACTGATGTGTAGTCTAGAGTGCTAGCCATTGCAGATTCAATAGAAATTAATGCCAGATTTTTAAGTTTTGTTTGTCCTATTGAACTTCTTAAGTAGCTTTTTATTAATTTTAATTTGGAGAAACTTCTTTCCCCACTAGCTACAGATACAGGGAGAGTTAATAAAATTCTCAGAGCTACAACAGTATTTGAATACAAACTAATTAAGCTATTTTGGCATAAATAAAACATCCAAAGGTTTCGTAGAATATGGTAGCATTCTGGATACATCACGCAATTCTTCTCTAAGGTCATTTGCATTTATATCTGTTTCATTTTCAACCGAAAGTATTAACTCAAGACTGGAACAATAATTTTCTAGCGTTTTGTCATCTATATCCTTGAGTTTTAAAATGTCATATAAGAACTGAAATTTTTTGCTATGGGTTTCCAGAAGCGTGAATCGTTCATTCAGAGAATTAAGGGTAATGTCCAGAATATAGTTGAAAAAGTTTATTTTAAATTTTTTCTCCTCTGTTAAAGGTTCATCGACAGCTTTTTCATAGTCAAATTGACGCTTTTTCCTTCTGGGTCTAACTTCAGTGTCATCAGGAAATTCTGTACTGCATTCGAGATTCTCTGCTATCTACTTTGCAGCAATTTTCATCTGAATATATCCAGATTGTCTATAACTTTTCACTTTTTTTATGGTTTCTGATAGCATCCTTACACAACCTGATATATTTATAGTAACAGATTGCAAAAGCTTCGAAACTGAATTAATTTCAAACAAAATATCATGCCAAAGAATTACTCCACATATAAACTTGTAATTTTTAATATTTTTTGCTAACCCTCTCGCTTTAACTTTAGTTTCTGCATCTCTATTGACGTCTTCTATTATCAGAATCAATGCATCATAGATTTCGCAAAGTTGAAATCGTAAAGGTTTTAAAGCATCTATTCTGCTTGCCCACCTAGTAGCACTTAATGGTTTCAGAGTTAATTGAGAAACATATTTTTTTAGCACTTCCCAACGCTTTGTAGAACCAAAAAAAAAAGTGTAAAGTTCTTGTACAATAGAAAAAAAAAATGTTGTTTCTGTAGTAGAAGACGCTGCATCATTCACAACAAGGTTTAAAATATGGCATGTGCAGGGCACATAAAAAGCCCTTGGATATTTTTCAAGTATTCTATTTTGAACACCCTTTCTTACTCCTTTCATATTGGCTCCGTTGTCATAGCCTTGTTCCCTAAGCCACTTTAACTCAAAACCTAATTTTTCCAAATGTGTCAGAATAAGTTTTGCCAAACCTTCTCCGGTTGAATCACTAGCTTCAAAAAAACCAATAAAGAATTCTGCAATTTCATATTTATTTTGAATGGAGTTAAAAGTAACAACTCTTATTGTTAAGGAGAGCTGTTCATAATGACTGACGTCGGGGGAACAATCAGCGATTATAGCAAAATATTTAGCGATTTTTGTTATTTCGACAATTTTTCTTAAAAATTGAATTTCCCATTAAATTTATCAATTTATCTTGTATATTATTGCTTAGATAAGTCACTGACCATTTATCAGACTCTCGTTGAACTCTCCTGATATGTTCTTCCATAACTGGATCAAACTCAGAAAGTAATTCTACCAACTTTAGGAAGTTCCCGTTATTAGGTTGAAACAAATGTTCAGTTGATCCACGAAAAGCTAAACATTGTGAGGCCAATAGTTTAATTATTAAACTATTTCATAATTCTTTTTATAACTCCTCTCCAATGCTGAAGTTCCATATCCATAATTCGTTGATATTCAGCGTCAATAGTTTTTTTCTGCTTCAATCGAATGTCCAATTCTTTCCATGCTCTAAAAGCATTTCTGTGATTTACAGACTTTT